AATTAAGAACATCTTCAGAGAAGCTTTGCAGTGTTCTTTTGATAAGATCATAGAGAAAAGAAACAAAAGATCAGGAAAGCAGAGAGAATCTCTAAGTGCATCATGGAGCACAAGGAAATGGAAATTACTTAGTCAGAAAGCAAACTCTGCCTTCCATAAATGTGAGTCTGCCCCTCTGATCTGGAGAAAAGACTACTATCCTCAGTATTCCCTCTTGCTTTCATTTTATTGTGGATTTCTATGTGCTGGCTTGCTCTGTGCTGTTGTTGGTGCATTTCATGTATTAGCTTATTTAAATCTGAGGCAGGTGTTATTAAAACCCCATTTTAGAGATGAGAAAACTCAGGTACAGAGAGGCTTAAAATTTTGTTCAGAATTTTTATTTATTTCTTTTTATTTTTTAGAGAAAGTGTCTTGCTCAGTCATAGCTTACTGTAGCCTCGAACTCCTGGGCTCAAGTGCTCTTCCTGCCTCATCATCCTGTGTAGCTAGGACTACAAATATGCACCACCCTGCCTGTGTAATGTTTAAATTTTTGTAGAGACAGAGTCACACTATGTAGACCAGGCTGTTCCCAAACTCTTGACCTCAAGTGATCCTCCTGCCTTGGCCTCTCAAATCATTGAGATTACAGGCATGAGTCACCATGGCAAGCCTTGTTCATGATTTCTAAGCAGGAATTGTTAGGACTAGGATTTGAGCCCAGGCTGTATGACTTTTGGATCTGTACTTGTCCCTCTTCCCTTGTATCTCTTAATCCTGCTGAGATTGCTGTGTTTTATCCTAGTGATCCCAAACCTCTGTTTAAACCCTTGCTTGCCCTTGTGACCTCCCCCACTCCAACTCTGACCACCTACTGAGCAGCTCTGCCTGAGTTGGTACATCTAACTTAACATGATTCATACTCATTAATTACTTATTCAACTAAACAAACGTACTTACTCCTCTACTCTGTGCCAAGTAATGTTTTAGGCATTAGAGATGAAGTTGTGAAAACTGACACAAGATTTCTGCCTTCTTTTGGTTTATTTCTTGTGGGGTGGGTGTTATAGGAGGAAGCCATGTAGATACTTGTGGGAAGAATGTTCTGGGCCTAGGCAACACCAAAATCTCTGAGATATGTTTGAAAAGAAAAGCACCTGAGGCTAACATACTTTGAGTGGAGTGAGGGAACTCAGGGTAGAGGAGATGCAATCAGAGAGCAACAGGCCTGGTTATACAGGAACTTGCAGTCTATTGTAAGAACATTGCCTGATACTTTGAGTGAAGTGAGGAGGCAGGAGAGGGTTTGGAGCACAAGTGTGACAAGATATGACTTACATTTCTGTAAGGATCCATTTTACAAGGCGCCTCTTGTTCATTTTCATCTCTGATGGTGTCTAGTCCTATTCTTCACATTGGAAACCTACTATCCTTAGTTCCTATCCATGGCTTCTATTCTTCTTCCAGTCACTGGGCCCCGGCAGTTTTACCTCTTCAGAATCTCTCAAGTTATTTGCTCTTTTCCAATCCCACAGACACTATATGAGCTATACAGACCAGGGTCACATTTATCATCTTCCACTTCTGTGGTTTTAACAGCAGTTTTAACATTCTACTGATTAGTATTCCTCATGCCCTCCCAATGCCAGCAGAACTGTGTTCCTATAAATATGTCTGACTTGTACCTTCTTGTTTTAGAAATTGTGCTGAGTCTCTCTTGCCTCCAAGGTAAAATTCTCAGCATATCCATCCTATAAGGTCATTGACTCTGTGACTCTAAGCTACTCTTTGATCTAATGTCTACCCTAACATGGTGTCCACCCTTAAATTCCTGTCATCCAGAGTTTCCTGCTTCATCCTAACTCTGCTATGTCCTTTCATCCCTTCATGCCTTTGTGCCTATTAGTACCATCTTCCCCCTTTCTGTCTGGTGAGCATCTACTCACCATAACACACCTTACTTAAATACTACATATTCAGTGGAGATATCAGGAAATTCCACTTGTTCTAAAATGTATTAAAAATCTGACCACTTCTTATCATCTCTGCCATGTACACTGT